TTTGAAAAACGATCTACTAACGATGTTACTATGCAGATATTTGACATTTCACTTTCTTTCTAACAGAGATATTTTGTCTTACTAGATTACATACCTTACATTTATAAAGGGCCGTTCACTATCAAGCAAAATGTAGTAATTTTAGGTAGGATATCTGTTAAAACTTGACTGGGACTTTTGGTTCCCAACTGTCTCGAAAGGGGTAATCTTTAAAAAATTAACTTCTGAATAATTCTTCCTCCTGATTTTTTCTATGCACAGAATAGGGCTGCCTTCTAATGATCAATGTGGGTGAATCAGTTCAATGGAAAAATAGTTCCTTCTTTATTTCTTACTGATTTTTTTTTTTTCAATTTTTAACAATTAACTTTTTTATTTTTTAAATTTTTTTATTGAATGAATTTATTATTTGGATTTTATACAATAAAACAAAGCTAAAAAAATCTGGCTATTACAGAATCAACTATTTCGAGTTCCAGAAAAGGAAAAAACTCATCAACTTTTTTTTTCAGGAAACCATGAGTTTCTGATTTCGTTTTTCAATAGGATAATAAGATAATAAATTAATATTACTTATTTAGTTAAAATTTATTTAGCAGAAAAATAATTTATTTTTTGCAGAAACATGTTTTTCTCTTGTGATTTTAATTAACTTTTAAAACAATTCCTTTCTGAAACTCTGCTACTTCTTGCGCCCAATACCCTGTAGTCTCATATTTTAAGGGCTTTTGAAGTAAAAGAAAAACAAAAAGTTGAGATGTGATGTTATGTGAATGATGTTTTCTATGAGTATTCATCTCAATCCTCTAAGCGTGCAGTCATTTTGATATAATAGCTTTAAAATCTTAATAAGCTCTTAAAGTGAATAATTGGATCGTTTAATCAAGCATCTGAATCTTAAGAAAATTTTTTCTATGATAGTTTAAGAAATTACACACATAAACATTAACTAACTGCTTTTGAACTGAACATGAAAGATAGAAAAAGCTGGCTGAAACGCTTAGAAGGTTTTAAAGTTATTATTTTTTTCCTTCGGATATTCTGAATTTTATCATTTTTTTGTAATTAATAAAATTTATACAAAGTAGCTTTCTGTGTTGTATGATTTATTTCTATATTGCAATTTTTAAAGACAAATGTAGTTTTCATCCAAAGTTTATCACATTCGCTATTGCAAGCGTGTTGGCACTGCTTTTCTCGTAGACGGAGAGCGTCTCCGCACGCTTCATTTTTCTTCTAACAGATACGGCGACCGTGCTGGCATGCTTGCCATAGCGAATATGTTAACTACATACCCGTAGTTTTCTCCAACTCGACTTTTCTTTGTGCATAGTTATTCGTAGTGACACAAATGTCCTAGGCCAAAGGTGCACAAATAAGAAAAAAAGTCTGCATCTAAAATTCGGAAACTTCATTTACTTGAAATCATTACCACTTCGGATAAAGCGAAATAATCGGATTCATTGAAACCATAAAGGAAACTTGCAATTAAATGCATCAAACCAAATAATAACTACCGATAGCAAGGAATGTAATCACACAATATGAAAGAACTTAAAATGTATTTACAAAAAAAAATCATCTCATGGAAACAGTGATAATTTTCAGAACAGAAGTTGGAATGATCTCGTTAATCTTTTTTTCTATAAAATTCTATTTATCTTATCTTATTTAAATAAAATAACTCCTCTGAAAATGTATGACTTTAATTCTTAACACACAGTTGATGACTGGAATAAGCAAAACTGATAGGCGATAAAAAGGTGCGCAGATTTCTATTTGCAATTGATAAAAAAAAAAGATTTCACCCTTCCAATCCGACGTATGCGAAATTGCTTTTAAGTAACCTTTATTGATTAAAAATAAAATATAGCAATATAGTAAACATGTTTTTTTTCTCAAAGTTGAACAAAACGTCAAGTCCTTTGTCCTTAAAAGTCCTGAGATAAATTGGAATGGATTCAATTATGGTTTTTAACTGAAATAAAATTAATTATTTAACCATGAAAAAATTACGGATCTCACTTCATATATCAACACCTGAAAGTAATTTATGAATATATGGTGTGGTTTCTTCGTCTTCCTCTAGTCATCATCATCTAACTCTGTTTTTGATTCATCCAAACCATTCTCTTCCTTGCTTTCTAATCCACAATATACAGGACATCCCGATAAATAATCAGATTCATTGCCTTCCAAAATTTCTTCGGAGATCTCTCCTGATAAATCATCCTTTTCTTTTGGGATGCGGTTCCTATTGCCCTATGTGTACAAAATAACTTTATCACAAAAGGATTTTCAAACCTACTGACATGATTCTTTTCCCATTATTTGTAGAAGCGTATGTCCCAACTTCATAAAATTATTGTATAAGGGAATCGAGGGTAGTATGAGCCGTCAGGAAGTATGGACCAGCTAGAATTTCTAGGGATTTCTGATAAATAATAACACATTAGAATGCCTAGAGTATAGTTCTTGCATCAGACCACACAGGGCTGGATTATTAAATAGGCCAAGTAGGCAGTTGCCTAGGGGTCCCGCAACTTTGGGTACCCCAAAGCCTCGAGATTCTTTTTTGCGATTCCGTGCACTCGAACTTGTTCAAATTAAAATAAAGTATTGTTTAAATTTTCGAACATTATTCTAACAGCATTGCAAATTAGTTACTTTGCAAGTTTTTGTTATGTTGTTTTATAATTCTAAAATAACAGTAGTTTGTTTATAATTTAAAAAAATGTCCGGTTCTATAATTAAATAGTATTTAGATTGTGTTATAACGTCTTCTGTATTTTTGACCATTTTCTTTTTTTTTAAATTTAAACTTTTAATACGAGATAGACAGAAGCCCACTCTCTTGAAAGTGACCAAAATTGAAGGTTTGGTTATTTCAGTTTGTCAAAATTTTCTACTTAAAACCACTTATATAAAGTTAAAAACGATGAAAAATATCTAGTTTTGGAATTAGGGAAGAGGAAGAGGGGGCCCTGAAATTTAAGGGCCCCTAGATAATTTAATCCCGCCTGAATCCGCCTCGTGCAGATAGATGGTTCGCGTAACTACTTTGTGTCGTTTCTCAGTTAATATTCTTTCTTTGTGAACCTACAAAGTATTCGTCCAACTTTCAACGACTCCCTGCATTCCTATAGGTTAGAATAAAATTATGGAACCAGAGTTATTATTTAGCTTACTTTTAATAGATCAAATCATGAAAGCTTTCTTTAATCGACTTTAGTCGTCAACCTGCTTTTCTTTTCAATGTCTATAGAGTAGTATAGGTCACCACCAAATGAGCCAAAATCGGGTGGTATGGGTATGGATATGTTTTTTTAAAGGAAACTATGCCAAAGTTCAAGAAAAAAATAAGAAAGCAAGGGTCTAGGAGAGTGGTCTGAAGATGCCATGAAGCTTAAGGTTGCTGGTTGGTTGTATGAGGTATAATGGCGCAAGAGCCATTTTTGGCAAAACTGCGCCAGACTTATGGTAGATAAGCAGGATCACGGTGAGAAACTTAAGGTTGCAAATGTTTTTTAAAAAATTGTCCTAAAGTGTTGCTTCTAACCATTATCGAGTATCTGAAAGTGCATTTCAAAGAATAGTAGAGGCTATTTCCAATAATCAGCTGAAAGATATGCAACCTCAGATAGGATATTAAAGGCAACTTTTTTAGATATATTTGAAGCTCAGTTAGTAGATGTTGAATAAAGCTAAAAAGAAAGTTAGAAAAGAAGCTGAAACAAAACCTAACACTAAGATTTTTTTAAAAAAGTGAATGATTATGTAAATTAGCCATCAGGCACATCTAGGGATACAGAAGCAGAATGCATTGTTTGTCATGAAAAAAAACTGGATAAATTGAAAAATTTGTGAAGTCTGTTCACATGAACAATCTGCATACATTCGTGATTCAGTATTTTACTATTGTGAATATTGTAAATTAAATAACTGTTAAGAAACGTTGGAATTATATTAAAATTTATTTCTAATATTTTAATTTGACTACAGAAAGAAAACATTTATGCTTTTGCATCCAAACATTCATTCATTTTTTGTCTCAAATTTTGTGTTTTCTGCGAAGTCTATACTACTCGATATATTTAAATTTTTGTAAAGTATCAAGATGAAAATTAGTTATCATATGTATTTTCCATAAATTTAATAAATTTTAAATATTTTTTGATATATTAAATAAATTTATTTAATATATCCTACATAAAGAAAAGTATAGAAAAAAATTTTTAACCGATTATAAATCATTCCAACAAATCATCATTCCAAAAAAAATCATATAAATTTTATACAAAATTTCCTTAACTACCCCTAAATCACAGCTAACTCAAAACGACGATACAGGAAGAACTTACGCTGTTTAACATTCAAACAAGTTAAACAGTCCTAATCAAGGTCTCTAATGCTTTAAGAAGGAAATGATATACATAATCTGTCCAAAAAAACACCGAAAATTTAAAATTCATAAAAAAAATTAAGAGAAAGTTTTATATAATGCGACTTATGTTCTCCAAAATATTTTTTATTTATGTAATGATTTCACCGCTTGTTACAAGACTGAAATGGCTACAGGGAATCGTATTTTAGCAATGCTTGTACAACAGGCTATGAATGTTCTCCTCTTTATTCCGTTGTTTTAAATCTTCAACTTTTCAAGCTCAGTTCGGCTATCGGATCAAGAAAAATTCCACAGGTTCAAATCTGGCCAGTTATTATAAGTTTTTAATACATTTGATTGATCCATCAGCTCCTGACTAGTCATCAAATGATTCACACTTTGTTCACCATCAAAATTAAATTCGTCGCTCTCTAGATCATCAGGAATCCACATACACAACAAAACGATAAATTGTTAACGGGCCTTTCACATACGAAGAAAACGATCTACATTTCCATGCACCTTGGCTTCCACGCGTGATGATGATTAATCCATGTGACTTCCACGCTCAAAATACGACAAAACCTCGAAACGATCTGTGACAGAAGACCGCTCTTGGAGATGCGGGGAATCGAACACCGTGCCTTTCACATGCGAAGAGAACGATCTACCTCTGAGCTAAATCATCAGTGCTTTGTCTTCCACTCGTGACAATCATTAATCAATGTCACTTCCAAGCAGTAAATTTTAGAAACGGTCTGCAACAAAAGAGTATTCTTGGAGATACGAGAATTCGAATCACGGAACTTTCACATACGAAACCAACGCTCTACCTCTGAGCTACATCCCCATGCGCTTTGCATTCCACTAGTGACAATCATTAATGAGTGCCATCTCCACGCTCAAAATACGATACAAGCTCGAAACGATCTGTAACAAGAGTTTATTCTTGCAGATGCGGAGAATCAAAACCCGTTGCTTTCACATGCGAAGCGAACTCTCTACCTCTGAGCTACATACCCATGCGCTTTAACTTCCACTCATGACAATCATTAATCCTTGCCACTTCCATACTCAAAATACGATATGCACCGCAAACCATCTGTAAAATAAGAGTATTCTTAGAGAAGCGAGTCTTAAGCGAACCCTTAACTTTTACATCTGAGCTACATCTCCATGCTCGTTGGTCCTACGCGTGTCAATCTTTAAACCATGTCACTTCAACGCACATAATACGATACAATCTCGAAACTATCAGTCAAAAGGAGCACCCTTGGAGAAGAGGGGATTCGAAACCTGGGCCTTTCACATACAAGCGAACGCTCTACCT